TCCCTCCCTCACCTATGGTCATGAGCTTTGGGTAATGACCGAAAGAACGAGATCGCGGATACAAGCGGTCGAAATGAGCTTCCTCCGCAGAGTGGCTGGGCGCTCCCTTAGAGATAGGGTGAGGAGCTCAGTCACACGGGAGGAGCTCGGAGTAGAGCCGCTGCTTCTCCACGTCGAGAGGAACCAGTTGAGGTGGCTCGGGCATCTGTTCCGGATGCCTCCTGGACGCCTCCCTGGGGAGGTGTTCCGGGCACGTCCCACCGGGAGGAGGCCCTGCGGAAGACCTAGGACACTCTGGAGGGACTATGTCTCTCAGCTGGCCTGGGAACGCCTTGGGGTCCCCCCGGACGAGCTGGAGGAAGTGTGTGTGGATAGGGAAGTCTGGGCGTCTCTGCTTAGACTGCTGCCCCCGCGACCCGGAAAATGGATGGATGGATGGATATAAAGTCCCTCGTCTTGGTATAATCACCATCAGAGAGATATGTGAGAATATTTGCACCAATGGCAAATATTTTTACTTTTTTTGTCCAGTCAGGAAGTTGAAGCCCGCTCTAACTGATGAATGTATTTAAAAATCTATTGCCAAAATTTCACACAAAAAAGTAACTGAAATACAGACATTTTGAAGGCTTACCACGCTGCTTTCTGATTGGACAAAATGTATTCAAATCCTCAACCGACTCTCCCCATTAGTTCAACTATTTCTCACCAAAAAAATGTCAATGGGTGAATATTTAGAAAATGGTTTGGGATTGTATAAAGATATAATATGACCAACAAACCACAAAATATATAATACGACTAACAAACAAGGTATTAGAATGTGTTTGACGTTTTTTTGTAAATAAAGATAATTGAATTGAATTGACGTATTACCATTGGTTTCTATGCCAAGCGTGATTAGATACCATATACATAAATATACATAGTTGAAATTACAGTACAGGGCCAGGTGATCTAAAAAGAGGCTTTGAAGTTACAGATACCAACTTTAGCAAAGACCTCACAGGAAAAACAGTGATTGAAAGCGAAGGACCCGGGCTTGCCACACATATGCCTGCTCCATATTTCACTTTTTCCCATTACCTTGTCTGTGTGAAGGGTGTAATTTAACAAATCTCGCTGCTCGCTTCTCAAAGGAGCTTGGAATTAATTTACACGGCAGATTCTGAGTCGCTAATGCCCTTTCATTGGAGAGAACGGGGGGAGGAACGCTAAATTAAAATCTACCACACGGAGCGGAGGCAAAGCAGCGTCAGACGAGAGACGGGGATTATATGAAGAGGCTTTTTTACACAGCTGTTTCTACACAGAGTCTGCAACTATATATAAAATAAAATAAATATCTATTCAAACTTGCAAAATGTAAGTTTTTTTTAAGGCCGACAGTGACTCAGTTGGTAGAGGATTGGGAGAGCCTGAAGGTCGTAGGTTCGAGTGCACCACAAGTCTTTCTCCACCGACTCGTGGCAAGACCATAGATTGTATTGGCAAGACACCTAACCTCTGTAAACACCAGGTGCCACAGTGGGGCGGCTGCGGCTGTAAAGTGCCAATCTGTGGTTGTGTCCTTAGGCAAGACACTTCACCAACATTACCTAGAGTCTGGTGTGTGTGTGAACTCACTTCTGTCAGTGTGCCCCAGGGCAGCTGTGGCTACAGTAGTAGTTATCACCACTGCGTTTGGAATGAATGAATAATGACATGTAAAGCGTCTTTGAGTGTCCGAAAAAGTGCTATATAAAACTGTTTTTTTTTTTTTTTTTATCAGCCGGAAAATACACGTTAATTTAGGTCTTTCATTGATTAAAATAGACATGTTTTTTACTGTCATATGTAGTTTTCTGTTTTTGGTGTTGATCTTTTTATGATTTGATGACTTTGCCCCTCGTCATGTTATAATCACCACTAATGAGATTTGTGAGAATATTTAAACCAATGGCAAAAATTTGAAATGAGGAGAGAAAGAAGAGAGACTTGTTTTCCCATTCTTGCAGCTCCAATACATATTCTGAAATACCAAAACAAGCAGAAAACTGCTTAACATCTATTTTCTAAGAAGAGAGACAGAGCAAACGGACATCTTTACCCATTGCTTTAGTCACAAACCGCTTCCACTAAATCTGCTTAAACTTGCCTCAGGATCACGTCTTAGAGCAGAAGCAGAGAGAAATAGCAGTTTGAGTGATATTCCTCCTCCTTTTCCCCCAGCCCTCTCTGCATTCATGCCCCACTTCTGCTCCAGCTTCTGCTCCACTGTAGCTAAACCCACATCTGACCTTCATACAGCAGCAACGTATCAAGAATCCAAAGCCTCAAGGCCAAAAAATAAACAACCATTAATTTTCTATGGTTATATTCTCCAACTAAAGCTCGCACCACACTCGGTGAACGCATTCTCCACGCTCGGCTGGTTTAGAGCCACGTACGAACCAGACACACATCGATTCTTGGATTCATTCAACCTTTATAAAAAATAATAATAGTAATTGCGCTATTCGTCATCGCCGTAGCTGTTTTGTCAGCAGGAAAGAACGCAGCGTCGTCTCGAGCTAATTCTCCCGTTTGGAAAAGGTGAGAGCGGAGATGGAGGTGTTTGTTTACAGTACAACGAAGAGGGAAGGAGCATGTATTAAAAAGGATATTAGTCCAGAGAGAGAGATAAGAGGGAGAGACCAGAGAAAGAGACCAGAGAGAGAGACCAGAGAGAGAGAGATCAGAGAGAGAGATCAGAGAGAGAGATAAGAGAGACCAGAGAGAAAGAGGTGAGCGAGAGACCGGAGAGAGAGATGAGCGAGAGACCAGAGAGAGATGAGCGAGAGACCAGAGAGAGAGATGAGAGAGACCAGAGAGAGGCCAGATAGAGAGAGATGAGAGAGAGAGACCAGAGAGAGATGAGAGGCCAGATAGAGAGAGATGAGAGAGAGAGACCAGAGAGAGATGAGAGAGAGACCAGAGAGAGATGGAGGTGTTTGACAGAGAGACCAGAGAGATAAAGTCCAGCAAGAGAGATGAGAGGGACAAGAGAGGCCAGAGAGAGAGAAGAGAGAGACAAGTGGAGAGACCCGAGAGAGACCAGAAAGATGTCAGAGAGAGAGAGGAGAGAGAGACACCAGAAAGAGAGATGAGAGATAGAGACCCGAGAGGGACCAGAGAAAGAGATGAGAGGGAGAGACCAGAGAGAGATGGAGGTGTTTGTTTACAGCAAAGGGGAAAGGAGCCGTCACAGGTCTTAAAGAGGATATTAAAAATCAGCATGGCGTACAGTTAGCTTGATTAAATCTCACGTTAAAGGCTTCTGAAGTGGATTAGTCTTTGAAGTCCTTGACCTTGGCTTGAACTCAGAACTCAGAAGCCGTGTGAGTTGCATGCTCCTTTCGGAAGATTACGGTGCTAAAGCCGTTTCCACCATCTCTCCTGGTTCTACTAATGTCACTACAAAGTTATTTGGATCTTCTATACCAGACAATTAGGACATTTTATGCTGTTTTAATTTGTTAGCTTGGGTTAGCTTGAGCCTGGGTTAGCTTGAATTTACAGATAGATAGTTTGTCAAACGAATCTACAGCCAGAGAGAGAGAGAGAGAGAGATGGATGCATGGATGGATAGATAGATACCACACTACCTTACCTTACCATTTTCTGGTATAGAAGAACCAAGTCTACCAAGAAGACGAGATACCCCTTCCTCAACTAATGCCCTTACTGGTTGTAAATGTTTTTTTGTAGTATCTAGTTAAATAAAGTAAAAACATGCAGAAAAACAAGTACAAAACGACAGATTTTGGTTATAAAAAACATCTCTTCATCGACAAAGGGCTGGCTTTACAACAGAAATGCTTTGGTGAAATGGTCCCATGTAAAGACGTCACATGTTTTGGACTGATCCATGGAAACTAAATATTTTTAAGGGTCGCCACAAACTGCAGGAATCAGAGAATCTCTGTCATCTGCAAATCTCAGTGAACCCAGCCCTTGTCGTTTATAAATTACCAAATCGACAACAACCTTATTATTGCATTTCTCTCATGGTCATTTAAACTCTTGAATTGGTTGGACTTCAGCTCTGACGAACAGGGACTACATTTTCTCCATTGTGAGATCAATAAAGTTTATCTAACACTTTGGATATGGATGTTTTTGATGGGACTGCAGCACAGAGACCAGGGCACACCAATCTGAAGGCTGGAGCGTCTATGGTGGTTCAGTTGTGTCTCGTTGTGTGTTTGTGCGATCGGCAGAAGGCGTTTTTGGTCATGAATTTCCCTCTGCGCACTAATAAGACACTATTATATCAAGAGAAACACATTTACAACTGTTTAAATATGTTTTCTGGAACATTATGTACATCCACACTGCGTCTGGACAGATGTGGTTAAACTTATATCAAATTCATAGATGATTTAAATGATAAAATAAGTTAATAAGTTAAACAAATGCACAAAACTTTGGCCTGGACCTCAGATTTCTCTGATCTGTAGTTGGCAAATCTATAACTTTGTAAAGTCCGCCGAGACGACTGCTGTTGAGATTTAGGGCTGTACAAAAATAACAGAATAGAATTGAATCGGTGAGACCTGAAGCAGGATGGAACGTTGTCTCTTTAATAGATTGGTGTGCCGCGGTCTTGAGCCAGCGTTAGCCGCAGTAGTAGCTGTGTTAGCGCTATTAGCTAGCCGGTCGCTGCATGAGGACGGTCTTTTCACCAAATCCGACTAAGTTTACGCCAATATCGACATTTATAGTGTGTAGCTTTAACACAAGCTACACACTAGCTTGATGAGTGCAGGTTATGCTTATGCTAAACACGAGTGCAAAACATAGAAATATCTGTGCCCGAGTTCGACCCTATCACAGAGCATCACAGAGCATCACAGAGCATCACAGAGCATCACAGAGCATCCCAGAGCATCACAGAGCATCACAGAGCATCACAGAGCATCCCAGAGCATCCCAGAGCATCCCAGAGCATCCCAGAGCAGACACATCCTCAGACTGGTCTAAGATGTTGTCGGTCTAAGTTCATTCATGATTTTATCCTTTTCCTGGAAACATACAAAGAAACATTATAGACTAAAATACAACCTAAACTCATTACTATTATTATTACTTCTACCATTAACTACTAACTACTCATTCAAACCCTGTTTCCACCAAAAAGTAAAGTGCAATCCAGTTTTCTATAACTTGAATTAACAAATGAATGAAGTTATTTTCAGTAATTGATGCACAGTACAGTATATTTTTGGAATCAACAGCGATAATAGAGAGTTTGTTACCAATGATTTCTTCTTCTGCTGTTTATTTGATTCTGCTCAGGCCTTTTATCAATAAACACAATCTAAAAACAGGCTGAAAGATTCTCATTAGGGTTGCAAACGGGTGGAAAATGTCTGGTACATTTCCAGAAAGTTAAAGTTAAGCTGGGGAATTTTGGAAATATTCAATAACTGGTACTCAATTGTAATTTAATGAAATGGTCTCACACCCAAGATTTTATACAGAAATGTCGACAGATTAATTTGTAATGTAGAAAAAGTTCCCTACATTATCGTGAAATTCTCTAATACATGTGGTGAAGACACATGGCCTGCAGGGGGCGTGGTCTCAAAAGCCACAAGGCCACTGCTCCTTGTGGCTTTTGAGACCACACCCCCTGCTGGCCATGAATATTCAAGTTTATTTGAATGGCGCCTGTTTGCTTTAGTCAAGATTATATTGAAACAAAACGTAATTGAAATATATTATTTAAAATTCTCAGTTGATTCCCGTAAATTCCCATTAATTCCCATGGAAAGTTTCAATCTTGGAAAATTCCCGGGATTTTGAGACCCTATTCTTCATACGTCTTTATGAAGTCTGCGGCATTGTCCAGTTTTGATATGATCACTTATCACAATGGAACCACTGGGAATGAATGGAAAATAACAGGAACTAACTGGGAATTTTCAAGAGCATGAGGATATTTAAGGGACAGTATGTTTCAGTATAATCTTGACTAAAACAAAAAGGCACCATTCAAATAAACTTGAATAACCCCTCTGATCCTCTGTTGTTATGGCTCTCCTGGTATCAGTACCATGTGGGCCTGGTTCTGCAGACAGCACTGTACGTCTTGGCAGAAACAGGTGAATTATGTTTTGCAGACAGACTCAGGCTCTTACCCGGCGCTGGTTGAGGTTGCTGGGGCTGGCGGGGGAAGGGCTGGGAGACTTTCCGGAGTGAGGGGTGGACTGCTGACTCCCGGGCATCCCGTTCACTGGAGGCAGAAGAGGGAAAGATCCAGGTGAGGGAAAGAACCGCAGCATGTACCGGACCAAGTATAGTTTTTGATTCATTAAAAACAACAGTACAGACAAAAACATCAACATTCAAAAATAACACAAAAATAACACAAAAATAACGCGAGATAAAACAAAAACATACAGACCAAAAAAATAAGAATGAATAAATACAGGGGTGACAGTAGCCTAGTTGGTAGAGCATTGGTCTTTGAGCCGTAAGGTCCTGGGTTCAAGACCACTATGAGACCTTCTCCACCGAGCACCACTGCTGACGTTGTGTACTAGGGTAAGACACTTAAACCCACTTTGCCTGAACCCCCCACTGAAATATCAAGGCTGTGTAGTCACTGACAGAGCAGCTGACAGAGCTGACAGAGCAGCCCCCCCCCCCCCCCCCCCCCCCCCCCCCCCCCCCCCCCCCCCCCTCCCCCCCACCCCCCCCCCGCCCCACAGCCCCCCCCCCCCACCCCCCGCCCACCCGCCCCCCCCCCCCCCCCCCCCCCCCCCCCCCCCGACTCAGGAATGGACACCCCCCCCCCCCCCCCCCCCCCCCCCCCCCCCCCCCCCCCCCCTCCCCCCCCCCCCCGCCCCCCCCCCCCCCCCCCCCCCCCCCCCCCCCCCCCCCCCCCCCCCCCCCCCCCCCGAAGACCCCCCCCCCCCCCCCCCCCCCCCCCCCCCCCCCCCCCCCCCCCCCCCCCCCCCCCCCCCCCCCCCCCCCCCCCCCCGATGGATCGGAGATTAAAAAAAAATAGTACAAAGTATAGTTTACTGTGATCAAAAATACACTTCAGAACCACTTTGAGTTTGAACATATCTGAATCTAAAACTAAATGATGTGTCATAGTTAAACATGTTAGTTACAGTAGTTAGAACCGTTTTATAATGTATGAATTTCTCCTACGGGGATCAATGAAGTATCTATATCTATCTATCTATCCATCCATCTATCAATTCAATGTAGTTTTGTATAGCCCTAAATCAGTATTATGTCGGTGTACTTTACAAAACAAACACATATCCATTGGTCCTTAAGGGGCAGATGTCCATAAATATTAATAGATCACCATAAATTTAGTTAATAAAGACGCATTATTATTAGTCATAGTATAAAATGACAAAGTGAATAGTCACATTCTCAAATACAAAACATGATGCGTAATAATTGTATCATTCTACGCTTAAACCAGGCTGATGTGCTCCTCTGTGGGTTATCTCCCAGCTCTAAACACAGAGAGAGAGAACAGAGGCTCACAAACATAGAGCGACTGAAATAGTGTAAAAACTGAATCCACATCAGTTAAAACAAGAGCCTACGAGCAGCCTACACACGTCCGCCCCCCGCTGCCGCCCACTCTGCAGACCACAGGGACCACGCAGGAAATCACATAATCTTTACATGTTCTGCTCACACTGGAGCCAAGATACGGACGTGATTATGAAACCACTAGAAGACATGGTCCTGCTTTGTAAATGACATAACAGATAGTTTGGTTCTTATTAAATATGATCTAGACGAGGGATGTCCAAGTACAAATACATCAGAGGTAAAAAAAAAGGTTTGTTACAAGCTGATATAATATGCATGTGGCGACAGTGGCTCAGTTGGTAGAGCATTGGCCTTTGGGCCTTAAGGTTGTGAGTTTGAGGCCACCACAAGACCTAATTCACGACTCCCACTGATGACTGCTGTTGTTGTGTCCTTGGGCAAGACACTTGCCACTTTGCCTGAAGCCCCCGCTGAAAGATCAAGGCTCCTGTGGACTCACCACCTGCAGGAGGATCAGTGAGGAGCAGGTGCTGTGTGGACTGGGTGTAGCTCTGACTGCTGCCCCCCCAACCCAGAAATGGATTAAGGGAAAGAAAATGGATGTATGGATATATATATATATGTGTAAGCAAGAATGTGTACAGCTACAGCTATAAAACTTCATAAAGTCAAAATAATAAGTCCATAAAAACAGTCCAACTCTACTACAATGATTAATACACATAACACATATTAGCCGCATTGCTATATAAGCCGCAGGGTTCAAAGAAGTGGAAAAAGAAGCCAGAAAATGACGGTAATTCTACCCGGATTCAGAATATATTTGCCATTTGCAGTAAAACCCCATTGGAATACATGTAAGTAAGTAAGTAATGTTTATTTATATAGCGCATTTTACAGACCACGGCCACCCAAAGAACTTTACAATGTTCAGAGTTCAGATATTGCTCCAATCATTCCACACACGGTGATGACGGAAGCGAGAGTCCACAGTGTGCACCAGACAAGTACAGGAAAAAAACACTTCGGCAGAGATTTGAAAATAGTCATAATTGTGAACCTCAAAATGTTTAGTTGACAAAAAATTGATATCTGTGAATTCAAGCTAACCTGGGCCTTTTTTAATGTATTTATTATTATTATTATTATTATTATTATTATCATTATTATCATTATTATCATTATTACTATATTTACTTTTCCTGTTTGGCACAATGGGTGACAAGACAAAACAAACAAAAGCGTGTCTAACATGGTACTTCAAATCTGCTTTGATCATGTTGCGTGCAAAGACATAATCAAGTATTACAAAAGAATATGTACATTTTTATAGCAAATTCCACAGACAGTCATTTTAAAATCCTTCTCTCTTCACACTCGGCTTCTGCATCAGACGAACGGTAAATATATCAACATTTCGTGCTTGTTTCCGGGTGAAAGCTCCGTCTCTCGTCTCGCTCTTCTCCTCCAGATGTGCCATAACCTCATTAAAACTGTAGCTGCAGTCTCATTAGCGTAGCGCCGTGTGCGGTCAAGCTAACACTCCACTCCTGTTTCCCTATCGCCTTCATTAACCTGCCGGAGACTGATACGCTGCTTCTATTTTCACTTTTTCATCTCTCTTTCTTTCAGTGGCCTCAGCTCACCTGGAGGTTAGACCCACTGACCCAGAGCAGAGGGACAGGGGAGAGAGAGAAATGATTCAGGGGAGTATAGTCTCCTGCTGGTCCCAGAGTCAGGATTAAACATGGGAGGCAGCGTTTCAGATTCATGCAGCTAAAATCTGGAACAGTCTTCCTGAAAATGTGAGACAGGCTACAAGTTTCAAATCCAGATTAAAAACTGTTCTGTTTAGCTGCAACAACTGAAGGACTGTATCTTCACTCTTTTTAATACTGACTTTTTCGCTCTCTCTGTCTCTTTCTTTCTCTTTCTCTCTCTCTCTATCTCACTCTCTGTCTCTTTCTCTTTCTATCGCTTTCTCTCACTCTCTGTCTCTTTCTTTAGCTCTGTATCTTTCTCTCTCTTTCTCTATCTCTTTCTGTCTCTCTCTCTCTCTCTCCCTTTCTCTGTCTCTCTTTCTCCCTCTGAATCTCTCCATCTCTGTATCTCTCCCTCTCTTGTGCATTATGTGGTTGATTCTACCTTATTTTTTGAGCACTTTGAGCTGCCTTGTGTATGTGCTATACAAACAAACTTGCCATTCAAAAAGCATACTTATTTCAATTTGGAGAGACGTGAAACAAGAAGCTTTTGAGTATTTTATTTAGGAGGAGGTTTTGGCGCCCTAGGCCCCGGTGCGGCCTTCAGAGCGGAGGGCCTCCTGCGATGGAGCGTGCCAATCCCCCGGTACCTAGTCACTGGTGGCGGCATTTGGCAGCGGGAAGCAGGTTGAAGGCAGATTGAAGGCAGGGTGAAGAGGAGGAGGAGGGGAGGCGGTGGTTGCAGGCTTTGAGAAGGCAGAGAGTGGGAGTTTCTCCGCTTTTAAGCGGCTTGCCTGGCCGGTGCGGTGATTGGAAGGGGCGTTTGCAGCGCGATAGGCTGGGGATGAGAACCGGCCTGGAGGGGTTACCTTTGGCTGACGTCTACCAAATTGAACTTTCGCTGGCTGCATTTCAATTTGGAGAGACGTGAAACAAGAAGCTTTTGAGTATTTTATTTAGGAGGAGGTTTTGGCGCCCTAGGCCCCGGTGCGGCCTTCAGAGCGGAGGGCCTCCATGCGAAGGAGCATGCCAATCCCCAAAAAGCTGTGTTGATGGAGTTTTTTGCAGCCTGGTTTGGAGGGGACAGAACGACGAGACTACTCTATGCTGTGACCGCTATCGCTATATACTGTGACCGCTATCGCTATATACTGTGACCGCTATCGCTATATACTGTGACCGCTATCGCTATATACTGTGACCGATATCGCTATATACTGTGACCGCTATCGCTATATACTGTGACCGCTATCGCTATATACTGTGACCGCTATCGCTATATGCTGACGACCATCATGCGCTAACCATTTTTTGCTATATACTGTGGCCGCTATCGCTATATACTGTGACCGCTATCGCTATATACTGTGACCGCTATCGCTATATACTGTGACCGCTATCGCTATATACTGTGACCGCTATCGCTATATACTGTGACCGCTATCACTATATACTGTGACCACTATTTGCTGTGACCAAACTTGCGGATACTCAGCTGCAGCCGCCACCAGGAGTTTAGCGAGTGTTTTATGGAGATGCCAAAAGCTGCTGGGCTGCCAGGATGGTCGAGGTGTCAGGCCTGATGTATGAGGAGAGGGCCGATGATGACCAGCGGCCCAGCTGCTGAAGGGCGGAATGGGCGAGCGCCAGTGACGCGGCGCGCGTGGCGGCGCCTATCCGAGAGGAGTGGGCTGTGTAGAGATGGGGAGACAGATTACAAAGCAGCAGTACGTACTTGAGTTGGGCTCTGAACCAGTTGGGGGACATAGGGAGGTTATCAGGGGTAAGAAATGACGGTCCGTTGAGATCTCCTTTCCGAGAGCGGAGGCGAGTGTAATGCATCATGGATCGTGACAGCAGAGGGCGGAATGAGTGGAATGCAGTGGGCGTGACAGAAGCTGGAGTAGACTTTCCACGCGAAACTGTATGATTTCAGTGTGGAAGGTGAGAGACCCATCTTCATGTAGGATGCAGCGGAGGAGATGAGGAGGTGAAGAGACGGAGGGACTAGTCCAGGGCGAGGGATTCCATGCAGGGGATCTGGCATGGTGATGGGTTGGCAGAAGGGCAGAGGCGTCGGAACTCCTGGAAGTCGAGATTATCACGCATGACGGAGATCCTCTTTCTCTGCCAGGTGTGATTCCGCCGCGCGCAGGCCACGACCACTGGGAATATCTCGTGTAGGGCAGAGGAGATGCTCCGGTGGAAAGTAGCGGCCACGGCCCGGCAACCCAATGGTCCTGGAAAAAAGCCCCAAAACCCACGGAAGGGGCACGTCCGTGTAGAAGCGGAGACCTGTAGGGGCAGAGACATATCGGAGAGGGCCATTGAAGTTGCAGGCGTCCTTACGCTTAGAATCTTGGGTTGGAGAGTAGATAATCAGGATAGTAGGATGGTCGGGAAAAGCCGTGTCTCGGACCGCCTGAAGGGTGAGTGAGCAGTAGTGAAACGCTTATGCAGAGAAGCCATAGAAGGCGAGCAGGAAGATGCTGCGAGGAGGGCAGACGTGTACTTGGAAGAAGAGCCGGAGTTCAGTGCCGCTCAGAGCCGCTGCAGGATGGGCAGCATGATGGGGAGCCTGCGATCAGAAGAGTGAAGAATACAGGTGTGGATGCCTTTGATTAGGAGTCCGATTGACGGCTCAGCGCAGCCACTCGGCCAGCTGCATCTGATAGAATCAGAAGATTAAGTAGAGAGATGAAGCATGACCGCCGAAGCGACCCTGGGAGCATAGGTGCGAGTCCAGCGCAGCGCGGCATACTCAGCCGGGCTGCGTCCATTAGAAGCAGGATAAGCTTCTGAGAGAGTGGGTTGCAGCAATAGCAGTAGCAGTAGCAGCAGC